CCAAAGAAACTTTCTACAAGGATATATAGACTTTTTCTGGGTAATTAGTTTATTTTTAGTTAATGGTGGAATTAACTCAAAAATGGGTTTGGTAGAGAGATATTTCAAGACTTCTTACGCATCCCAGAGGAACCACTGCAACAATTTATTTTCATAAATTTAACAACAACAAAAACCCTGAAGTATTTGAAAGAATGTAACTGAGGATCAAGTGTCAGACCTATTCTACGCGTCTTCCTCAAAATTCAAGCACTGGATAGAAATGAAATGAAAAAGCAGGTTAAGACCAAAGGAAAGCATTGGGGATTTTGTATTTAGCTGACCCACATCTCTCCATAATCCAGAAGAAATGGATAAGTACCTCATTTTAATACAATGAGGGTATTAATTAAAATTTTGTATATATATATTTTGAGAAATTCTCCCAATCCCAGCCCACATCGTGTTCCACCGCACACCTTGGCTCGTATTTCTGATTCAACCCGACACTTCAACCTCCGCTCGCCAAGAATCTTACTCCTCCATTACGCTGAGAGCTTCTTTGTTTTATTTTTTCTTCCAGTGCCAAGAGATCTGTAGCAAAAACGTTACACCAGAAGCTAAACATGACCTGACCATATGGCAGGGGGGACCTCGGCGGCCTTGTGCGCACATAAAACGGCTTCACGGGGAGCACAGCGCCCGGTGGCACCGAGCGACAGGAACATACAGAATACCAGAAACGAGAGATAAAGGCTCCAGATTGGGGTCCACTTGTAAAATGTAGCCAAGCTCTGATTGAAATCAAGAATTTCCTGGCAAACTTATGTGAAGCTTGCAAAAAAAATAAAACAAGTTAAAAAAAAACCTGAAAGAACGCAGCATCTTGAAGTAAAATAACTAATTATATCATATTGAATTCTATATCTGTGAATCTCAAAATGTTCAGCCTAAAATAAGTTACTATTCAAAATATTGCTAGACTCAGCAGCCAAACTGTGCCAAGTTCAATTATTTTAGTTCTAGTCATTTTTGCAGTTCATTAAGAAAAATAAAAAGTATAATCAGAAAATGTTTAAACCTTTTTATTTAACATCTTTGAATAATTTTACTTTTGGAATCCCCGCTGCACTGACCATGGTTAATTTGTTTTTAATTCCAGGTTTCATGTTTCAGCAAAATGTTCTTGTTTTGAATTTTGTAACATTTGAACTTTTACACTAACGTATTGCCCTCCACTTATATATAAATCAGAAATTAAATATATTTTTTAGAATTTTTAAAAAATAAAATATCAAATAAAAAAAATTAGCATTCCTTTTAATAGTTTCAATTTCACATTTTTAAACATTTCAGTGATAAATTGTATCGTAATACTGTGGTGTGATTTAATAACTGATATTTAGACATTCAGTAGAACATCAGACAAATTAAAAACTGGTGAAATTCTACACATATCATGTGTAATATTTAAATGGTTCTCAAAAATCTGCCTTATTTCCACAAGTAAGTTCATAAAATATAACAAAAAAAGTTGTCATATTTTCAAAATGCTTAATTTTTCTAGATAAGTACACTAACATGCACCAAAGGCCAAAATAGTATGTAAAGCACTCCACACCGAAGCAATGCTGACAGCTGGAAATGACAAAAAAAGTTAGCTTTAATGATTGCTTTTTTTATTATTATTATTCGTATTTGTCTTTCCGGTATACAGAAGAGTGATATGGAAACCAATAGTGTTACAAATTTTCTTTAATAATATTTTGTGTCTAATTATATGAGTAAAATAAACCCCAACTGTTGTTTAAACAGAATAACACATTGCTTTTTTTCTTGAGTTTTGCACAGTTTTTATTTTTATTTCAAATTAAATATCAAATTCAGTTCTATTTAAAATTTATGAAAAATAACATTTGGAGTTAGTTTCGTTTTTTTTGTGTGTGTTGCTCTGAAATGTTATAGAAACAATCTTAAAACCATTGTTCATTTTGTCCGTGTATTTTTTTGTGTTTTTCATATCTTTTTTTTGCATGTCAGGCCTTCCGTAGAGCAGCAATTAGCTTGACATTCATTTGAGAACAGCTGTTAAACCACTTCCTGTGCCTGTACATACCCTGAGCATCCACCAGCGATGCGGAGAACTAGTTTTTACGATGACCTGTGAATCAAAAGGGAAGCCGATCCGTCCTCTGCGGCTTCCTGATGGAAACCTGGAGTTATGGAGTCATCGGCGCTGCTGCAGTGCACAGGTGCCCGCGGCCCCAGTAATGAATGGCCACCTGGTCCAGGCTTGTCATCCCCGGTGCTGGAAGAGTTAGCGCCCCTGCTTGGATGGACAGCAATTTGTGTGCTGGAGTGCGGCCGCTGGCATTTACAGGAACATCTGGGGGCCGAGTCGGGCCCTGAAAGAGGGACGGCTCTCCAGAAAGTATCAAAATCCATTATATCTGCCATTACCCAAAGGTCCCAGGTGGAAAAGGTAGTTCAGTTTGTCATTTTTGACTTTTTCTGCTATTTACCTTTTTGGTTGTCTTGGGAACATGAAGCCTCTCCAGTACTTGTGTTAAGTCAATAATGTCCCTATAACCACTGGACAGTGGCTGGGCCTCTAAATCATCTCCATATATTTATTGGTTCATCTGTTTTACTACAAGAACGTATGTCACAGAATCTTTTTTTATTTAATAAAACGTAATAAATATTCAATTTAAATAAAAGGAATTGGAGAGATTTCATTTGGTTTTCTGCAGTGCAGTGGGAGCTGGGTCCAGTGCTTAGAAGTGGAAAAACTATGATAGAGTGCAGAAAAACATTAGTTTAATAAAATATTAAGTATTTGTGCAGTAATGTGGATGAAGTGACAGAACCTGAGTGTTCGGATGCTGCATTGACTTAACCATAAATCCCCTCCACCTCTCCAGGCCCACCGGGAACATCTGCTGAGTTTAGAGTTCCTCCTGAACTCAGACATCATTCAGAAGCTCAAGGCCGGCCGCCGTTACCGAGCGACGGGCCGCCTTGGTTGGTTACAGTCCAGCGTTCATTTTTCCGCATCCGTCACAGCGCTGCAGGATCTGGGCTGAGGTCGGACCAAGGTCACCTCAGGTCACCCATCCGTCTCACCCTGCATTGTCTCTTTTAAGAGCGTTCTTTGCGTCACTTTTGAAGGGAGCTCGCGAATGTTTCTGCTTGTGAACGGGGGCGTGCGGTGATGGATGCGCCGCGCTGACGGGAACATGATTACATGAACCGGGTGCTGCAGGCCGTTCAGCAGGCAGACGAAGCGCCATGTCACCTCTAAAGAGGCCATGAATGAATGTCCCTGTCGCCACCAAGGCCCACTTCCTTAATCAGGGTGTCGGATGGTAATGATTAGCTTCCTGTGTGCGGCTTCCCGAGTTGCCGAGGCGTCCGCATAATTCATACGCTGTTAATAATCTGCTCGGAGAGACAATGCCCTTCTTTTCTTTCTGAGCTTATCCGTCTCTAATCTGAGCCGCATTCCAACTTATTTTAAATTAAATTTAATTTATTATGACAAGTGCTTTCCTGGAATAAGGCTTCATGTTGGAGGATACAGGGGAATGCGAGGTGATTGCATCTAAATCCCCTCCCTCCACCCTCCTCTGGAGGTTTAGTGATGCACCGGGCTGCAGCTGCAGAGGAAGCAGCAGCAGCAGCGGCGGTGGTGGATCTGCCGCCGTAGGTCACGGCTGGGGAGGGAGGTGGATTACCGCCGCATCATTATAGTCAGAGTCTGTGTCCAAAACCTGGATTAGTAACATAGAGAGGGATTAGGCTTTATTATCCTACTCTGGCATCTGTTAAGGCCACCGGTCCTTGAGAAAAACATATTTTTGCTGTTACAGCCTGCTCGGTATGGGGATCCTGCCTTTACGGCGGCGCCGCTAACCTTCCTGTAAAGTCACATGGTTCAGAAATCCGATTTCATTAAGCAGCTGTTGTTGTTCTGAGCCGCAGACACAAACCTTCATGTGTTCTAATGGGATTTTATGCCAGGGGAAAAAAAGAAGTTTTTATATTAATGTGAAATATATCTCAAAGTAAAATCCAGTACAGAAACCAACCTATGGAAACCCTTTCAGAGGGGTGTTGAAAGTGTAGGTCAGGGGCTGTTTGCAGCCCTTGGAATGATTTTGTGCGGCCCTTGATGACAACTTAAGAATGACATAAATTTGGTTTTCCAACTCAGGAAGTGATGCAGGCACAGAAATCAGACTATTCTACTTGTTTCATTAATATATGATGCCGTTAAGTCATTGCTTAGCAACTAAAATAACTAATTAATTTTTATAATTGGTAAATTTTCCTCAGTTGTCAGACCTACCAGGTCATCTTAAACAAAAGCAACAAAAGATGATCGGCGATCATCAAGAAACTGAAATCGGATCATTTCTACTCACAACACTAGAGTTGGTCTAGTCTACAAAATTTAAATAAAATGTGTTTGAGTGGTTGGGCATCTGAAAAAAAATATGAAAAGACGCAATCTGAAAGAAGAACCAGTTGACAGAAGTCGAGTGTGTTTGATGATTCAAGTTCACTTTCAGATAAAAGTCAGCAGATACTCTAAATGAATCAGTCTCCTGTCTCTGCCTGTTGTTTGCCTTCCAGACTGAGGAAATCTGCAGCTAAATGAAATCACTTAATTTTAAAATTACACAATATATTCTCCTTAAAAGCTTTTGTTAAGTTTGCATGTGAAATCCATCCAGCAGCCTTTAGTTGATTAGTCTCTTTATTCCAGCCATCAGTGCTTGTGGACGTGGCATTGAATTACGGCGCACATTTGTCAATAGCATTTACCTTCATGCTCAGACGCGATTCAAGGGAATGCCGTTTGCAGTGCGGGGCTTCCACACAAAAGAACCATAAGAGTTAACCTTGAAGTATTGATTTCCTGCCACGGTGTACATGTGCCATAAATCCGCCATAAATCCATGGCTCTCTGTTCATTTTTCTTCCTGTCTCCCTCCAACTTTTCTCTCCCCGTGCAGAGATACTGAGCGGCGGCGTGTACGTGGACCAGAACAAGTTCCTGTGCCACGCCGACACCATCCACTGGCGCGACATTATCAAGAACCCCCAGGCGGAGCTGCTGGTGGTTCCGTCCAACAACAGCAACAACGGATGTGAGTAAAGTCCAAAAGCACCCCCTTCCCCCCCAGTCCCCCAGCGTCCGTACGGACCCACGCATGAACATTCATGACCTATCGCTTTTATTTCATTCTGTTTGCCTGCTGGGTATTTGGAAGCGAAATCACTTGGTGTTAGATCAACATGCGAACCTTTCCAGTGGAGTTGAAACCAGCATGGCTTTTGCAGCAAAGCCCATGGAACTGCTGTCGGCTGGGCTCTTTGTAAATCTCAATAAAGCTGACAGCTAGTTTGAAGTGGCGCGCTTCCCTCTCTGTCCGGTGGACATTTGGTGTCAGACGAACTGGCGGTTGAAGACAGACTCTTGCAAACTTTTCTGTGTGTGTATCTCAACCTTTGGGTGAGTTGAAAGGATACATTATGAGGTTTGTCTAGACAATTTGTGAATTTAACTTGAATAAATTATCCTCACTACTGTGACCACCTCTATAGAGGCTGGTGCTCTGGAAGTTTGAGACAAACTGGAGTTAACACAATGCTAACTCCAAGGAAATGTTGCTGCACATCAATATGGAAGGGGCTTTAAAACACTTTGAAGTGAGAAAGATTAGTCATGAGTGAAAAACATCGGAAGAAGTTTATTCAAGTCCCAAAGGGAAATTAATGTTACAGCAGGATAAAATGCAAAAAAGACATACAAACAAAGAGACATACAATCAAAGTTCTAAAAATGAGGGACAATACAATGTGCCAAAACAAATAACAAATAAAACCATATGACCTCTGGAGTGATGCCCTTTGGACAGAAAGGACCACAATGGGAGTGTCTGGACACAACGCAAACAACGGTCGATTGACCAGAAGAAACATTGCGGATGCTGCTTCTTTGGTGGTTTCTAATAGAATCAGACAGAATCTGGATTAGTGGATATTAAATTCAAAAAACTACCTGTCCTTTAGATCTTGAGCAGAATTGCATCTGCGTTGCAACAACTTGAAACCGTAGCAAACCAGACCTCATGGAGAGCAGGTTACTGAAAGACCAAGAAAAACATTTTGGGAGAGACCTTTAGATGCAAAATGTGTGAAACATTGTTATTTTGTTGATTAGATGGTGCTGATGGAGGAAGAGGGTGGTTGTGGGGGGGGGGGGGTTAAGCACTAAAGTGTGGAGGAGGTGGGCCAACAAAAATGACAAGAGAGTGCGTGGGAGTGGAGGTTGCCAAATAGGCGCCCGTTGCCAAGATGTAGACAGTATTTAACATTGGGACCTGTGGTGGGAGTGGCTGAAGGGGCCGGGTGACAATCGGCGGCGTTGTTCCACTCACTGTGTAATTAACCCATAGTCAATTAAGTCTTGATGATGGGCCACAGCCAGATGAGCGCTGTCAGGTCCCACTTTCCCTGACAGAAAGGGAGTAGAGGCCCTGTTTTCACGCTCTTCTTCCTCACCAACCACAACCACTCTATTGTCTCGTCAGCTCAGGAGTTTCCACAATTGTGTCCCTGTCACCAGTCAGGAGAAAGTTTTGGCGTCCCGCTCGCTGCGACGTGTTGGTTTCATTGGAGTTTGTCTGACGTGTTTGCTTTGTTTTCCAGGCAGGCGCTGCCATCGCTCCTGTATCGGACGCTGCTGGGGTCCTCAGGAAAGCCAGTGTCAAACATGTGAGTGCGGACAGTTTGTATCTGGATCTTCTCCATGGCAACCCCAGACCTGGTTATTACTAAAATATGCTTCTGCTTTGGCTTTTTAGCCGATTTTTTAAATAGCTTTAACCCAACGAGAAAAGACTCGATGCACATTTATGGTATTTACCATTAGCTCTCTAGACTTTCTGCCTTTCAAAAGTTTTAATTTACCCACTGAGTCACAGTCTGCACCCTATGTAGGTATTATCTGACTCTCATATAGGTATTAGGAGGATCAGTTTAAAGTGGCTCCTACTCCTTGTCCAGAGATGATGAGCATCAAATGTGACCGAACACAATATGAGGGCCTATTTTTATCACTATTTCATACCCACATGGCCCCCATGAGCAAATGTTTAGAAACTAGCATGTGTATGTGAATCCTATGTGAATCATTTTCAGGATGAGTTGACGTTAGTTTCGGTGTGGGACCTATTGGGTTCCATTACAGACCAGAAAACCCTTTCGGGAACCTTTAGCCTTAGCTAGGTCTCAGATAGGTCTTATGGAAATGAACTGAAATAACTACATGGAGAGCAAACCTTAAAGTCATTTAGGATGGGGTGTATGGAGCCTATTTAGGATGGGGCTGTTATAGGTTATACCTAAATACACCCTAGAGCAAATGAAGACGTCAGGTGGGATTGAAAACGTTGCCTGGCATCAGAATAGAGTTTTTGTTCTTCTTGTCCTGCCCCCAACTAAAACCTCTTATCTGTTGTCAAGTCTCACTGCCAGTTAAAGTCTGGTTTGGTTCTAGCTTGGTTGGGTGTGTCTCCATTGTGTATCACTATGTGATGACCATAACCGGAGCTGTGGTCAACGCTCCTGTGATGTCATTTTGCGCATGTGGACAGTTATTGGGAGGACAGTTTCTCCAAATTCTCTTGCCATATTTGTGAATTGCAGGTTGCTTCGGATGCAATCCTCCACCACAATTAATTAAAGGTTTTGGATCTCAAGGTTTGACCATAGAGTTATTGATTTTCAGCTCGCCGTTTCACCAATTACTGCTGGCCAATCACCGAACGCGTCTGCTATCAGTCAAATCGCCAAGAGGTTCCAAAAAATGGGGAGGAACCTCTTAAAATGGAGCCGATACTGGCACAACCAGTTCTACATGACACGTAGGGCCAAGTGGGGTTATTAGTCATTCTTGATTAAATCTGTTGTAATTGTGCAACACATCTAAGACCCAGATGGATTGGGTTCCCATTTTTCCATAGAGTTAAGTTAGTTCAAACCTTTGAAACTAAGTCATTATGAGCCAATGTCTCATTGGTCTCACTTTCTTAGAGCATTTCATATAAACGCCCCATACTTCACTTTGTTTGATTTTTGATTTTCATATAAATAAGAAAATGTATCTGTTGGCACAATCATTGGTGTCAACATCTAAATCAAGGAGGAGCTCAGAAAAAAACAAACAGCTGTTTTAGAGAGGATTTTCTTGCTGCTCTTATTGAATTAGTAAAAGCTGATAATTTAATAAACCAACAAGCTGTGGAACAATAAACAGGCAGAATGCTCAAGAAGTGAACCCATGCGAGTGTTAGCAGTTTGTAGAATGAATGCTGTTTTTCACAGATTAATGAACCACAGAGGCTTGTTGATGTTCCACATCTGTAGCGTTATGTTGGCAGCCCAGCAGTTATTAATTCCTCCAACCTTCTGATTACTGGCTGCTACGTTCTGCTTGGTGTGTAAATCTGCGTCTTAGCTCCAGTGCAAAAAAGAAAACAGCTTTAAGAGAACCGTAATGTATACAAATTAGGACACAATTTTAGCAATACTGAGAAACTTTTTAAGGACTGATATAAAACTTAATAAAAGATAAAGAATAAACTAAGGTATAAAACTTTGAATTCTTGCAATAATTGGATGAAAAACAACGAAATGGAAAATCCTGACCTAGTCAAAGTTAGTTTTGGCACCATTGAGATGAAGTGGAGTGTATCCCTCTAACATCTCACAGCTAGGAGTGAGCTAAAGTGTAGGAAGATATTGATATTTTCCTCTGCAATAAAACATATTTTTGCTGGGGTTTTTTATTTAATGAATAAAAACTGGTTACATTTTCTATAAGATAATACAATCAGACCATTATTATTATTTAATGAACATTTTATAGTCATATTCTCACAGGGTTTCCAGATACTTAGCAACAAACGTTTTTGGCAACATTGCTTTAAATAGAAAAAGAAAAAAATGGAAAATGGAAAAAGAAAATAAATAAATAACTGAGCTTCAGAACTATTATGGCAGCAGATAAATACAGTTTTTTTTTTGTTTTTTTTTAATGGCAAACAGAAATCTTTTCTTTCCCTTTCTCGGGAGAAGCTGCTGCTTTTCCCTGCACCTCCGACATGCCACCTCTGATTCGTACCTGCCAAGCACAATTTTCAGCTGCTTGGCTCTGAGCTCAGGCTGGAGGAGGAGAGTCTCTCTGGCAGGTGTTGCATGAACCAGAGGGCGCTTCACGTTTTTTTTTTTTTTTTTTTCTCTTTACGTCTGTCTAACTCTGTAAGTATGTGCTCACAAATCCACTTGTCTCGACCTTTAGGAAGCAGAAACCTTTCATTTCATTCGTGTCACATAACGGTCGCGAAGGCTGAGGGTGGTGGTATATTGTCTCTTTTAGGAATGTGGGTTTGTGTGTGTGTGTCAGACCTTTTAAAATTCGGTCTTCTCACTTCTTGGGCAGTGACAAAATCGGTGTGTGCAGAGCAGTGTGACGGTCGCTGCTTCGGGCCTTACGTCAGCGACTGCTGCCATCGAGAATGCGCCGGCGGCTGCTCTGGCCCCAAGGACACCGACTGCTTTGTGAGTCTGCTCTTTGATTTCTCTTCTTTAACTTTTGAAACGATCCCCTTTGCTTCTAATGCTTTTACTAAAGTGTAACCTTGTTGAATTTTTCCCCACATTTTATTGGGTTAAAACCACCAACTTCCATTAATTATGTTGGAATTCATCGAATGAAATCTACTGCAACAAATTTCCTTCAAAAGTTATGAAAGTTATAAAACAAAAAATAACCTCATGAAGTTCAAGAACAGCAGCAGACGGGTCAGGGAGAAAGTTGTGCAGAAGGTTAAAATGATATCCCACAGAAACATGGAGGTCCACCTTGACAGTGCAAGGCACCAAAAATCTGACCTTTATAGGAAAGGAAGGCTTTAAAAAAGACACTGTCGAAAGAACGTCCACTGCAAATTTTCCAAAAGCACTTTGGTGGTGGTAGCATCATTTTTGAGGGACTAGTCACACAAAATTAACTATTTCCTTTTTTCTTTTTGTTAGCATATCAAAAATATTCCAAAAATGCAGCTTACGAAGCTAAGCCAGCTTGACGTAGCTATTGACATCAAGCAGCCAATAAGCTATTTGATGCACTATTGGCTGGTGTTAGTAAACCAGCATATTCGGGAATACCTTTCATTTTCCTTTGTGCCGACTGGCTGAACCCAATAGCCAACATAAGGGAGACTGTAAATGTTAGCTTCTTTGGTAGCCCTAAGACCCTTTCTACTGCGTGAATGAAGGAATATTAAGGTATATATGGTGTTTGAGCTATTAAAATAGGCAGCCAGAAGCATTTTTAGAGGATATTAGCTATTCACCAACCAAGTATGTATGACTGCAGACACCTACTTCATCAATCTGGTGAAGTAGGTGAAGTAGGTGTTTACCAGCTAGCTGTTGCAACTTATTAAGCACTTCAGTCTAACATTAGTGACGTCTTCATAACTTTTCTTTCCGCCTCAGTTAACACAGAACTTCCTGTCACATTTCAAAATAAAAGCATCAGCATATGCTTTTATTTCCCTACTGTTTTAATAATTAACAGTAGGGATTTTTTTTAGAGATGTTTATAAGTAGGGAGGGCTAAATCTTTATACCCTGCCACTACATTTAAGAAAAATCCATTTTGTTTCCTGAAATAATGCGAAACTGACACAAGTATTAAGAAAAGTAAGGGAATATAATTTCTGTAATATTTCTGCTGCCGAAACTAGCCAAGCAGTGTCTGTGGTGAACTGCCCACTTTGAGTCTACCGAGAACCCCCTCCCATACCGCCCACTAATACCGCTAGTCCTCTGTTAGAATGGACCAGTCAAAGTCCAGTTCTAGATCCAACTGAGAATTTATGGCATATCTCGAAAATGTACGTCAACACACACAATCTCCATCTAAGACATTCAGCTTTAATTGCAGCCATATGTCAGTTCTGCTCTACTTTCTGTCATTTCTTCAGATTAAAATTAAACCAGTTTGTGGTTGTAATGTGACAAAATGGTAAAAAGGGACTTTCCAACGCTCTGTGCCTGCTGACAAACCATTTTACAGGCTTGTAAAAGCTCACTGTTATCAAATTTGGGATTTGGCGTTCCAATTATGACCGTTTTTATCACCCCAACTTCTTCTTGTTTTGCAAACTTGCACATCGACGAAGTGGATATTGCTGCTGTAACTCACCTAAAGGCCCGTCCAACTCAATTACCGATGGCCATGGACGTCAAGACGCTTAAAGGGGGCTTTATGGGAGAACATTACGCCGTTTACATCATGGCCTTGGATCAATGGCTTCAATTTTTCTCCCATTTGGCATCCACAGAGACGGGAAGCAGCCGCATGATTCGCATGTTGGAATGCGGCGTAAAAATGATGTGCTGCTGTAATTCTCCTTCCCTCACTGTGACTGATGTCTCTCACCTCACCAGCAACTCCACACCTTTATGGGAGGAGATGCAAGCATTTAAAGTTTGGGCTTATTCATTTATTTATTTTTTTTTCTGGAAGAAGCCACAAATGTTCATCACACTAAAAATTAAAAATACAAATTGAAATATTTAATCTAAATTCTATTTTGCACCAATTCATAACTAATGTCTTTAGTTATATCCAAACACATAAGCTCAGTTAAAACTGGGCTATTGACATTTGCCAAGGGCAGCATTAAAAAGGGCGTACATGTGTATAATTTATAATTATAACGTTTAACTTCCCTGAAGAAGTTTTTTATTCTTCTTCTCTTTCTTTTTTACCTTTTGGACAGCTGTTTTTGGTGTGTAACCATGGCAACAAGGTATTGTTTTTGCTTCCAGGAGCAGCTAATTAACGTCTTCTAAACTTAAATATTCCTTGAACTACGACCCTGAATCCCAGAAAAGTTAAAAAGGAAGCTTCATGGATGAAGAATAATTTCCTCCAGCATCTCTCTACCGGCTTTCTATTCATACGACTAGACCGAAATGGAAACAGGAGCAGCAAAGGGTGTGGATTAGCAGTAGTAACTAACAGCTGATGATGTCCATCAGGACGTGTTGCTGTGGAATCTCGTCTCTGCTACCTGGATACTGAACTGTTAGCATGTCATGCTGGTTATGAGACAGTTATAGAGCAGGTCTTCAGTCAGAGCCTTCTTCAGATTCGATGCAAGACTGACTGCTTCTTCTTTTGGGAGAAATAAAGTATCGTTGAATCGTCTTACACTGGATATTCTATGGATGTAAAGTTAGCGCTCCCATTGTGTTACGTGTATATGCATTGCTATCACTGCTGATGATAACAGACTCAGTCATAAACATATAAAAACTGATAAGCATTTACTATGTAAGGTCAGGAGTGAATATTTGCATTTATTTCTGTTAAACAGTATTTCTGTCTTCCATGTTTGTTGTCAACATAGAGCAGGGGTGTCAAACTCATTTTCGTTTTAGGCCAAATCAAGAACACTAATGCTCTTAAAGGGCTGGTTGTACCAAAATGTATTGATAAAACCTGTTCACAAACTGTTAAAATATCAATTAATCCTTAAAATTAAACAGCTTTTCAGTCCCTCCAGGATTTTCTGATTCTTTGTGTGATTTTTTTTTTTTGCAATAAAAATCAAAGTGTTGGGAAATATTTGCCATATTTGTGCTTATTTATGATGGCAAATGTGACTTTTTAATTACTTGCTGTATAGATTATTGTCTGTAATCTGACATCAATTAAAGCTGAGGCAGCTGTTTAGTACAAGTAAGAAAGCTTTTGACAATTTTTGAGAAACATTTGCAATAAACTCCCAATTGTTAGTGCAATTTGTTGATTTTTACGTGAATTTCCACGATAATTCTCAAGAAACCGGAGGGACTGAAGGACATAATTTAGCAGTAAACAAATAAAAACTGCATTGATTTGATTGAACATAATATTTAAGCACACTTATTGTTTAATCTAGAATCCAGAGGGCCACATAAAAAGCTACAGCGGGCCAGATTCAGCCCACGGGCCTTGAGTTTAACATACGTGACATAGAGAGTCGGATTTTATGATTGTATTATGATGTCGTAACATCCACTGCTGCCAGTAGATCACAGTGACTATATTGTTACTCCTGTATTATCTTGCAGGCCTGCACCAACTTCAACAACAGCGGCGCCTGCGTCACCCAGTGCCCCCAGCCGTTTGTCTACAACCCCACCTCCTTCCAGCTGGAGCCCAACCCCCGAGCCAAGTACACCTACGGAGCCTTCTGCGTGAAGAAATGCCCCCGTAAGTCCGAGGTGCTGTTGACGCTCATAAAGGTGTTAATGAAGTCTTCCAGAAGAAGCGAGCATGCTCTAATCTCCGCTGAAATTAGACTCCAGACGATTATTGCGAGGCAAGATAAGTGGCTCCAGCCTAAACAAATGGTGTATCTCAATTAGCTAAGTTGCCGCACCATCTGCTTGGACTGATGTCGGCAAAGAAGCAAAGAGCAGTTCTCTGTTCTCGGCTGTGGAGGGTCTGCAGTGCAGGAGCAATTAGCCCAGCGCGAATTAAAAGTCAGGCGACAGATTGCATATTCCGAATCCACTGATCATCAGATGAGATTTATCATCCCTCAGCTCTGGGTTTGCATCGTCAGAGGGAGCGTCTGTGTTCATGGCTTCTCGTTTCTGTCAGATAACTTCGTGGTGGACCACAGCTCCTGCGTCAGAGCGTGTCCCAGCAACAAGATGGAGGTGGAGGAGAACCGCATCAAAATGTGCATCCCATGCACCGACATCTGCCCGAAAGGTGAGCGGTGTTGTCATCCGTGTTCACAGTAAATCCAATTCTGGAGTTTTGCTTTCTGTGATCTGAAAATCGTTTCCGGTGAACGTTCCTCTCCGGAGGAGAAATGCGGCGTCAATGAAGGTCAGATGTTTGATCCCGACATCAGTCGGAATGTTAATTAAGAGAAAATAGCCTCTTAATGAGAAGCGGCTACCTGAAGTCGTTTTGCTACAGAGACGTCAGCTAACGGCCCAAAATGCCTGACGTGGAATTAAGCGGCGTTAGCTCAGTAGTGAAGATTATCCTCTTCATCAGGTTGTTCTCCACAAAGGTAACCGATCTGCCCTTTCTCTTCAGAGAGGACGGCAATAATGTTTTCCTCCAGGCGGCGCGCGGCGGCCGCGCCATCAGCTGATTGGCCGATCCCCTGATTACATCGTCACGTCACCGGGACGGGTTAATGAGGGATAGCCCAAGGAACTGTGGGAAATGATAACAAATTAACATTTCAGATATGGAATTGGCCGGTATAAATCACTATCAGAAAGTGGTTACACCACTTAATGCCACCTTATTCATCATCCCTCCCTTCTGCCCGTGTCAGAAACACTTGGCTCGCGCCGGGCTGAGTGTAATTAATGCAGATGTAATGAATTCATTATGGAGAGGGAATGGATGGAGATTGGCCCATGCTTTCATCAAAAGAATTCAAATGCGTGGAGCGGGGCCACGGCCCCGCCGGAGCACCAAAGAACTTTATTTTGATGAAAGAGAATGGGAAGGGTAACATTGCAAAGGGGAAGAAAAATGGCTTCTAGAGGTTCTTACAAGGACACCTTGGACACCTCGCCACGACAACACTAGCTGCCGGATTGACATGCGACTGTGTTTGCGTTGTCAGTGTGCGACGGCATCGGGACGGGCAGCCTGCAGACGGCTCAGACCGTGGACGCCAGCAACATAGACAAGTTTGTCAACTGCACCAAAATCAACGGCAATCTCATCTTTCTCATCACCGGCATCAAAGGGTGAGTATCAAGATCAGTCATTTAGAAATATATGACCGGAATGCAGAGAAACAAAACACAATACCAGCCACACAAGAAAAACAAAACCCATCCAAATGATCAAGCACAGTGCTGTAGGAGTGATGCTTTGGATTTGTTTTTGCAGCTAGAGCCATGAAGTTCTCTGTGAGAGGGGTCAGATCATTCCTGAAGGCAACGCTACAAGCTGTTGAACCTTAGGGTGTACTTACTTTATAGAACAGGGTGCTTTGAACGTTTCTGTTTGCCGCTAAAGTAAAATCCGAATGGAGACCCAGAACTTAGGCAGCGGTGAGAAACTATTTCCCTTTTGACCTTGAAACACTTTGGAACATTGGCTTTCCCTTCTGGACCTTTGATCTCTAGAACTGGATCTAGTAGAAGACAGAGAGATTTCTACCTGATTGAACAGAAGACATGGATTATACTTTATTTATAGGTTTATATCAGTGGGGAAGTTGCAGACCAGGGTAGACAATGTTTGGTCAGAACCACAGTGTACCAGCTGCCAAGCACGGTGGTAGAGGAATACAATCGTTGAGTTTGTCTTGAATGAAGTGATGGTCTCTGAAGTGATTGCTGTGTGTTTCATAGGGACATGTACCACGGCATCGGACCTTTGGACCCGGAGCGTCTCAGTGTCTTCCGCACTGTCAAGGAGATCACAGGTGACCCGTTTGGTTTGTGTTTACTGGTATGTGTGTGTGATGGTTCAACAGACTTTCAGAGTGTGTGTGTTTGAGTGTGTATGTTTATGCATTAGCTGTTACAGCCCTAAAGGGGCCTGTCTACAAACCGCTTTTCTTCATATTAAACCGCGACTTGCAGTTGAACCAAACGGCTAATGGAGTGAAACTGCATTTTCATTATGAAAACACCAGCAATAAAAAAGAGCAATGGCCACTCCATCCCCCACCGTTTCCTGTTCCATCCCCGTTAATGTCATTTCCATAGAGGCTGATCTGATATAATCTGTCATTAAACGGCAAGTGCAATCAGACTGAATGTCCAAAGTATGAAATCTATTCTTTTAATTAGTGCAGGCTGCTTTCTCTCTTTGTCTGCACCTAAGAAATAAACCCTTCTTCTATTTCCCCTTTCATAATCCTCTTATAAAAACAACAAAAAAGAAAAAGCAGCAGTGAACATCTGAGGAAAGTGTAAAGTCAAAGTCCATGTGGTGTGTTCTCAGGGTACCTGAACATCCAGTCCTGGCCTGAAAACATGACGGATCTGAGCGTTTTCTCCAACTTGGCGACCATCGGAGGCAGATCCCTTTACAGGTAGGATTCAACTGATGCAGGTGGAAGCATGACACACATTCAGAGTGGCAAACCAGGTTCTGGTGGTACCTGGTATTACTCTCTGCTCATTGGTTATGCAACAAAAACAAAATTAGCACAAAAAGTAAAGTTTTCTTATAATGAAGTTGTTCTTTGTGGTAACGATGCTTCTTTGCAATGCATCTGACAAAATCTCAATAAAGAGAATGGAAAACAATCGAGCGACTGAAAAAAATGTTCAGATGTCCCTGTTTGGGCCTGTTTGTTTGCTTGAAGTACTGACCTCGACTCTGTAGAACCCTTAAAGCAAAACTGCTTTGATTTGATTGATTAAATAATATTTAAGCAGACTGTTATCTTAGTGGTTCGATTTATGTGTCCCTTTAGAGTCTTGATGAATATATTAAAAGTTATAGTGATCCAGATTTGGCTCATGTGCCTTAATGATGATGATGATGATGATGATGATGATACCAGAGTGACCAACACAACCATGAGCCATTCTCTCCTCTTGCAGTGGGACCGGCATTTCTCTGCTGATCCTGAAGCAGCTCTGGATCTCCACCCTCCACTTCCAGTCTCTGAACGAGATCAGTGCCGGAAACGTCTACATCATGAACAACACCCGCCTCTGCTTCTACAACACCGTCAACTGGACGTCGCTCTTCAGGACCTCCAACCAAAAGGTCGTCGTCCGCAACAACCGGGACCCTAAGGAGTGCAGTGAGTAGCTGCGGATGTTACATCTGGGAGCCTTCAAGGTTTGAAAATGGTTTCTAGAGCTACAATAGTTGAATAATTTTATGGTAGGAAAATAGTGGAAGTGTGTCCACCATTAGTAGCTTAAATTATATAAGTTTTTCTTATAGAAAAGAATAGCCACATCTGAATGAAAGTATCAGAGGTAGGCACAGTACCTAAAACTTGTACTCAAGTAAGAGTAGCACCATGTTAATGTAATAGTAAAAAAGTATTTGGTAAACAGTCTACAGAAGTACTCAGTAACTGAACAAATGATCAATCATTTAATATTTAAACATTACATCATCAGATGGACAAAAAAAAATATAAAGTGAAGTGCAAATTTTGGTATTGTAAGGACCAAAAATGACATTCCTTTATATAATTAACAAAAAAATAACAAAATTAGACAAAATATATATTTTGTTTTACAATCACGTTTTTTTCAATAAAAACGTATGAGACTTCAACAAAAACTTCAGGTGTTCCTGTTTGTGTCTGGTGATTTTTTTATTAAAACATTTTTGTTTTTCATTCAGTGGGTAGAGAATCCAGAAAAATTTACTCAAGAGGAAAAAAATACCGTGTAGTAAAATGACTCCTAAAAGTAGTATTTATTTATTTTTTCCATAAAGTTACTTAAGTAAATGTAACTGAGTAAATGTAACTAGTTACTACCCAACTCTGGAAAGAATTGACAATGGAAGCAGTGGATAAGTATTAATAGTTCTATGTTCCTATCTTCTGAAATAACTACATTTAATCTAAATGAATGGAATTCTGTTTTGTGACCATCACAGTTAGCCTCTTCTGACTGGGTACTCCCCACAGCAGACGGGTTTCGCTGTCAACATTAAAACCAATTTTCTTTGGGAGTAAAATTGAAGGCAGCCGCTCCTCGCTTTATTAAACCTGGAGGAAATTATAATCCAATTGGTTCCTTAAACTTGTTTAAAGCATTCTCTGATAAACAGCTGCTTTAATGAACTTTCCTCAGAAATTCTGCAGCCAATTAACATTCATTCAAAGGTTATTAAAGTGGTCAGAGAGGAGGGGGTTTGTTTCCCATCTCTGTATCAATATAAACTACAGGTATGAGGAAGAAAAAGAGAAGGTCTGGCTAATTCAGATTTTTTTTATATATTGAAATGAACGTTTTAAGAACTTTGATCTTTACTCAGCCCTGAATAGGATGGAAAAAAATAGGAAAGTAAAGATAGTAACCGACTGAACTTTAAAGACTAACCCCTGCTGGTGATGTGTGCAAAAGCCAGATATTCCATAAATCGTCATGGAGACGCGCAGAGACTGTAGCCTCTTCACATGGTAGACTCATTCTCATCATTTTAATCATCGACATCTCAACTTGAATAAATGTATTGAAATTAGAAAAGGATTTTTAAACTTCCTTCGCTTTCCCATCAACAAGTATAATAGGGGGTGTATGTGCAATTTGGAGGTGTGGGCGCTTCTCCTTTTCTGTTTCATTGTGGACCATCTACTGTGATAAAAGATTAATTTATTTTTTTTATCTTTTTAAACATTTCTACAGGGTGAAGATGTGAACACTGTTTACTATGTGTACTCATACACAGACATGAAAATGTATCTGCACCTCTGTCTCTGGTAGAAGAATATGGGGGGCATTTAGTGCAAAAACTCACTGAGCAAACTTTTATCCGTGGCTTCTTGGAGTTTTGGGTTCAGTACCAGTTGCTTTAAATACTTAATTTACAAAAATCTGCTGCTCACTCTTTAATATAAGGAGTGTGTGTGTGTGTGTGTGTGTGTGTGTGTGTGTGTCTTTTTGTGTTGTGTCTTTTCCCGTCCCAATTGTCTTTGTTAGTCTAACAGCCTTTTGAGCTCTTCACTCTGTCTATAGTTTGGTTTTTGATGTCTTTTAGTGTTGTGGTGGTTGTTTCCTTGTAAAGCACTTTGTTGCAGCCTCTGCTGTTGGAAACGGGCTTTATAAATAAATGTGACCTTGACCTCGGATGAAAACGATACACTGTGTTCTGATTAAGTTGAAACCTACATTTTTGTCAAGCACAAATACAAACTGAAATGCCTGTGTCCATGGCAACAGTGTCAGTTTTCGACTCTTACAACCTGGCTGTGAAAGGCCTTGTTCAGCTTCATTGTGACATTAAAGCCCTGAGGTGGGTTCAGTTATTTCTCTTTTTTCTGACCAATGGTTTCTGTGAGTATTCTAGCACGCTGCTACATTGTTTGATTTGATTGTAATCTACTCTAGATAAACAAGAGTTAGATGTTATGGATCCGGCAGATTATTTCCGTCTGGGTTTGAAAACTCGACCCAGAGTTCCTTGAGTTCTTCGTTTGGTTTATATGCTGAGTGAAGCAGCATCTAAACCAGAGGATTATTTATTTGAATTTTGTGACTCATAAGCACAAACAGGCTTTATTACACTGCTGAAATATAAGCTGGCTTTAGCAGATGAGAAAATCCAACAAACCAATGTCTTTCGCAGAAACGGCGACATCTATAAAATCTTCAAAAAAGTTTAAAAATCTTGGCTTCCTGTTTCAAAGTTAATCTTAAAACTGGACTCATTAAAAGGTTAATGAGTCCAGTGTGTGTGTTAGGGTTTGATCGATTGGAGCTAATACAGGCCCTCTTTATTAGGCTCAGCCCTACTGTCTGTCATTGACTGTTCTGCTGTTGACAGAGGGTCTGGCCCCCCTCCAGGTGGCCCCCAGGGACTTCTTATGTCACTTACCGGATGGGGGGACAAGTGAGTCCAACGAGGTGCATTGATTGCTGCAGTTTGACAGGGAAGAAGAAACGGGAGGCCAAGGTTTCTGGATTAGACACTCTCTGCAGGCAGAGGTGTTGGGAATACCGATGAATCCCACACTGTTAGGCAGAAAAATGACTCCTTTATGTCTTTCCTCCTCAACAGCTCAGCACCGGATGATGTGCGACCGCATGTGTTCGGATGACGGCTGTTGGGGCCCGGGCCCCGACCAGTGCCTCTCCTGCCGCTACTTCAAACGAGGCCGCACCTGCGTGGAGTCCTGCAACCTGTTTGATGGGTGAGAAAAGAGTCCAAAACTGCGTAGATCATCAGCAGCCGACCATTATGGTTTATGAAGCCACATTAATTTCTCTCAGCGTGCAACAAGAAGCTTAAGTCGGTTTAAGCTGCTTTAATACACCAACAATAAAACCAAAACATTCTCAAGGGCTCTGGAGGAGGAACGTCTAATTGCAGATTGGTGTGGATGTAATGAAGTGAGCCAATAAGGAATTTCACAGTGTGAACTGTCAAAGGAGCATTTGGCAGGATGTTACAGCCATCCACTAAAATCAATTGAAATGTATTGTTGAAGGATTAGATTGAAAATGTCCCATTTGTACTGACTGAACGAATGTTTACAGCTCTGAGCTGAAGGCTGACTGAAAGGCAGTGAAGAACTGACTGGTTTGTGTCTGTTCTGCTCATTTAAATGTTGTCAGACTTTTTGGATTTTGTGTCTGTTTAAGGCTGCCTTAAAGAATCTGAAACACATTTACATCTGGAGTTTGACTAGCCCACTTCACACCTGTGAATTTTCTTATTGTTTGTTGTTTGGATCATGTTCCTAGATACGGTGCTCTACATGGCAGGCACGCTTCTGCTAATGTGCTATTTTTGGCTTAGCGCTTTAGCGTTTTTGCTAACTTTGAAAATGCTTTGCACAGTTAGCTTCCCCTAAATTCTAAGGTGTTAATTTACTTGTAACCTTTCAGTTAAATAAAGTTCGACATTTGTGTTGAAGTTTTGGTTAAGGACTTCAAGCAGTTTATATTCATGCTCTTATTTTGAAGTGGGTGAAGACTGATTTGGCATCAGTTTCCTCTCCTCGTGTTCTCTTTTTCCCTCCAGTAACTTCATTTCAAACAAGAAACATCCAAGAACAAAATAAAACATACAATAAGATATAAACATAAATACGATATCTAAGCACTTTATAGAGTCACATTATATAATAGCGTAAAAATAAAATTGGAGTTTGTGTAGTTTTACCCAGGGCAGATATAATTTGAACTTAAGTTAGTGCTTTAGCATTAACTTTTGCTAAATACCGTGCTGGTACAGCGCTGCAGAGTTAGCAGAACTAATATTTATGATTAGTGCTTTAAAGTTAGCGTGTGCTTTAAAGTTAGTGCTTTAAAGTTAGCGTGTTCTAGATGTTCCCCTTGAATGAATCCTGGCTGAGTGAAGGAATGTTTTGCATCGGGTCTCTCAGAACCATCCGTCTAAAATAAAGCTGCACCAGCAGTGCCTACCGAGAGATAAATCAGCCTTTTTTTTTTTTCTTTTTTCTTTTCACCGAGGCAAAAGCGGTGATGTCAGGCCTGTGTTTCCCTCTAGAGAGGGTTTATGAGAGCATGCAACCCTCGGTCATGTTGACTTGTTGCTGGTCCTTTTCCACTGCTGTTTGTGGGAGGGAAGCTTTGAAGTCGCCGGGGGGAAAAACAGCTCAGAGCGAAGCTTTGAAGAAGATGATGGAGAGGCTCGTGGCTGGGAGCTTCTGAAGCACGCTTGTTTCCTTTACTGTAAATACAGTCAACGCATGATACTGCCAGGAATATTCACAATGTCTGCTTGTTGATTTGTGTCACTGGCCTGAACAGTCTGATTAAAATATGTCCAATCTAAAATCAACAAACACCTGATGACAGAAAAATGACTAGATATGGAATGAAGCTCATTTTCATATGCAGCATCCAGGCAACATGAGTGGCTTTGTGCTGATGACCGTATACAGTTCAGGTACATCTTAAAAAATGAGATTATTGTGTAGGAGTTCATTATTTTTTTTGTCATTGCTATATTAAGCCTAAGCCTTTGTAAGATCTAAGTCTGAGTCAGTAGGACACAATCGTCATGGTCACGCCCCCCACAAAGAGGGTGTGGGGATTTGAAACGTTAATTGCTGAACAAGCGAGATGTTCAGAGTGTTGTATCATTCAAGCATATTCATAGAAAATTAAGGGGAAGGAAAAGGTGTGGCCGAAAAACGTGCATCAGCAACAACGAAAACCACAACTTTGAGATTCTTGATTCAGTCAAAATCCATTCAAGAGAACCAATGTGGATTGAGTTCATAGCATGACAGTCTAACATTTTTGCTAAAATTATTATTTTTTGTGATCTTGTGTAATGTTTTTATTTTCTAAGACAATAAATTATCAGTGTCCATTGTCTATAAGCCATAATCAATCAAAATATACAACTTTTTATGTTGTCATTTTATTTCCTACATACAGTTAATGTATGTTGTGTAGGCTTTAATTTGCTTTACGAGAGTTTGCTGAAATAATTGACTGGAAGTCAGTTAGACCAAGAATGGTTTTAACCAGGTTACAGTTGAAACATTAATTAATTTAAAGATTCTTGGGTGGGATAAAATGTAACACAGTTCTGGATGAAGCATGTAAATAACAGAGCTGTTTAGTGCCTGATCCCCAGAAACCAGGATATTAGTGGGAATTCCAAGTCTCCTCTAAAGGTTTGAAGATCGTGTGCTGTGTCCTTAACTATGGTGGTCATAACGTTATGCCTGGTCAAAGTCTGATTCAGAGACAAGTAAATGACTTAAAACAAATGGAAAAAATAGTGATTTCAAATACAGCTGATGTATTATTATTAAAAACATATTTGTACAAATATTGTATCATCTGCATAAAGACGAATCCAGATTAAGCCATTCCTTGTTGTTCTTTGTCTATATTACCAGTTTTAATCTCAATCTTTCTATCTCTTAATTGCCATTTTCCTGGATTTAACACCACTATTTTAGGTTATACTGAGTTCACTTTAGATTGGTTTAATATCTTAGTTTGTTCTGGGGCTGCAGAAGTCTATATCTCTGAAGAATTTAGCGCAAGCTCATTAAAAATGTTTTCAGGTTGGTGATTTTAAATCTTAAGATTCCTCACTCCGCTCTTGTTCTGTATATCCATTCTTAATGAGCAAAGGCACTAATTCCCCTCAGTTTATAAGTCTGTTGAATAAAACAAAGGCAGAGCAAAGACGTGCGCGAGAGGGGAAAAGAAAAAGACTTGAGATGGTGTCCGCTGGGGGTTAGCAAAGGAGGGAGGTACTGGGTAAAGGGAGGCGCTGAAAGTGCTTAATTAAAAAAGTTGCTCTGGTGGGTTGACCATGCTCTGGCTCGCTGGATGTTTTGAGGTCTGAATGGTCGGGGCCACAGTCCTGCTTAAATTCCTGCTAAAGCAGGGATAATCCCCCATCAGGTCATCCCCCAATGGGGCCCTGGCACACACTTTCAGCCGTGAAGAGGGCCAATCAGGAGGAACGGCTTTGACGGAATGGAAATGACCCTGGAGAGCGCCGCCACAGTGGTCTTTGTCTCTCACCCATCCTCCTCTGTGTTTCTTTCCCCATTCAGCCAGCAAAAAAAGATATCTGTCCACCGCCTGGCCTTCTTTTAAATGATTCCCCTGGACACAGCGTCTGGGAGACAAATCTAATTTATTTTGGAAATGGGGTAAAGAAAAACAAAGGAGAACTGCACTGATAGTCTGCTTTTGAGTCCTGTGTAAACATTTTCAGTAATAGAATCTGTACATGTTGTATTTTTGGATGTTTGAAACAAACTGCCCCGATTAAAACGAACCAGTGAGGATGGCTTAAAGAAAAGACAATCTGACATCAAAGCTCAGCAAAAAGGAACACTGGGATTTTATCTTCACTTTTATCATCCTTTAATATGATCCCGCTGAACCAGGGAGTGTCAGAATGTCTCTTTTCTTTTTTGGTAGCTTTTAGAGGTACTACGTCAAAAAGATTTTCACATATATTCACCACACGAAAATGCATAAAACCCAAATGCCCGCAGGAGATGGAATGTTCTCGGTGTCCAATTGTATAAAACTGGATCATGAGGCGGAATCCGTTGCGTCCAGGTTCCGTCACTAAAACTGCAAGCTAACAAAAACAAACCGACTCATTATTCCGAAGAGGGTCCACCTGGTGCTGGGCGAATCCTCCTCCGAGGGCATCCGTTGTCCACGTCGGCCGATCGATCCCTCTGATGTGAAAAGCGGTTTTAATCGGTAGCGGTTGCTATTGACAGCGGGCGTCCTCCATCCGCCGGAGATGCCTCGCTTCAAACAGGCATGATAATTCGCTGATTCGGCCAGTGAGAAAAACAGTCAGAAACGTATAGATCGGATGCCAGCACACACTCCCACAACCTGCCGTACACACACACGGGGCTGAACACTGTGGCCTGAGGCAGTGCTGAGCTCCTGCCACTGTAATTGCAGTGTATGTACCCAATATTGAGCTTTATTGTTTACTGTCTTCTCCTTTAGATGAAAACAAAACCAACTATATTGCTTTAACTGGCTGAACAAAGGCTCTGGCAGATCTGCTACAATCTGCAGAAAACAGTAACCATCCTTTCATAGCGGGATAAAGAAGCAAACATGTTTTCTTTTTCACTTTTAGTCTACATTTTCAAACCTCGTTATCTCATCCTAATGCACTCGCTTTGTTCATTCTCTTTCACTCTCTCCAAAGCGTATTTCTTCATCTATGAGTCTCATGACTGTAAACCCCCCCCCCAAAAAAAACAGTTTTTTTATTAATCAGTCTTGTCTTTATGGATGTCTGTTAAAATAAGCATCCAGGCTGACCAAATTGTTGCAAGTGAAACTGCCAGAAAAAGACAAGTCGATGGCAGAATACACAGCTGCTACTCCAGTGAACAAGCCAGGCTGATACTGATGTAACAGTCTTCATATAGCCTACTGTAGTGTTCTCCTGATCAATATTTCAGTGTGAGTACACTCAGATCTATAATCCATCCATCTCTGTTTTGATCTTCTTGCCTTCCATCAGGGAAGCGCGGGAATTTGCCAATGGATCCGTGTGCCTGGACTGCGACAGCCAATGTGAGAAGATGGACGGAAACAGCCTAACGTGTCTTGGCCCGGTAAGACCCGGTGGATCGAACCAAACCGCCTTATTTTTTTTCTCCGAACGCACTTGAGGAATGCGGAAATAGACTCCTCTCATTTGTCTGTGCAAGTTAGTTTCATATCTTCTGAAGTGAACTTATTTTGTTGGAGCCTATCTGTTTTGCGCATGGGGTTTGAGTAAGTGTAGGTGCTGTTTGCAAAGGTGAATGGAAGGTAATGGGAGAAATGATGAACTACCACTCCTGTTTAGCTCCAGCAGGCGCACATACACATTCGACACAAGCAACAAAAACGATTATGTCCTAATCTTCATATAAAGAAACCTTTAGAGACTTGTGTAAGAGCTTCTTCCTGCACTGACAAAGTTACCAGGCAGAGTTTACAAAAGGGAAGCGTGGAAATGTGTTACAATGTCAAACTAGAACTGCAGTTTTCATCGGGTTCCAAGCCCCTAACCAGGAAGTCTGTCCTAACCCCACGTCTCCACCCTCCACACGTTCAACTTTACAAAACAGGACAGTAAAGTATCACATTGTCTGTTTATGTTGCTCAGCATAGACAATTTTTGTTCTTTTACAAAATGGAAAAAAAAATTAACCACCTATTATAAAAGGAAGTAGTAGACATTTCTCTTTCTTCTAAAAAAAAAAGTGTAATTTTACACTTTTTTTTACACATATCATATGTGATGATTTACTTGTGTCTGTTTTGGCAACATCGGACTGTTTTGTTTGTTTTTGTCCTGCTAAAGTCTAAAATTTCATGACAGTTTTTATTTTAATATTTGTGGCCTCCAATCACTTTCATTTCAACTATTTTGGCCCGAATGTCAAAACGTTTTAAACACAAGATCCATTGTGTGTTACATTTACTTGATGACATCTAATATTAACAGAAGGTTTTTTTTTTTTTTTGGCAAATGTTAGCCAATGACTTAAAGAATTGATTCTTAGTCATTGTTTAGCTATTTGCTGATGACCATAGTGACCTAATGGTTAACTTATACTTTCCTTTACAAAGTAGTTGTTGGTAACCATTAGCTGATGTTTTCAAGAGTAAATCATGGGTCAACTGTTTGTAACCATTAGCTCGTGACATCTAAATGAAACCCTTAGGTAGCTTTTGGCTTCGTTTTAGCTAATGCAACCATTGATTAACTGCTCACTATTAACCAGAAACTTAATTTTAACTAGTAGGAACTAGGCTGAGCCACTGGATAACTACAATTTACATCTTTTAAGGACCTCCAAACTGAACCATTAGCTAGCTGTTTGCTTTGTTTTCGCTAATGCAGCCATTGTTTAACTAGTGGCTAAATATTAGCTTGCGGCTTCTAAACTGTCATTTATTTTAACTTGTGACAACTAAGTTGAGCCACTGGATGACTAAAGTTATTTTTTTTGTTTGTTTGTTTTTTTAGCTCTAGTGGCCTTTATTTCAAAGTGCTCAGACAGAAAAGTAGGTAATGAGAGAGAGGGAAGACATGCGCCAAAGGTCACCTGGCCGGGAATCAAACCTGCGACAGCCGAGTTGAGGGCTACGTCCTCCTTATGTGGGTTGTGCTTAACCCCTGCGCCACCACATCACCCCAACTACAGTTTAAATTTTTTTCAAGAACCATTTTTCCATTATTTTAGCTAACAGTTTCATTTTAGCTAATGGCTACCAGACTAAGCCATTAAGTAACAAATGCCTTACTTTTAGCCGTCTAGACTGAGTCATTGGATACATTTATATAAATCAGTGAACTGTTGATCACTGAATCATTATTAATTAATAATATATGTATTTTTGATGTATTTATTAGAAAGTTTGAGCTTTGTTTCAATTCACAAACATTTGTCCCCAGCTGCCCCACCTGGGCAGTACAAAAAATAAGAACCTTCAGCAGTTTCCTCCTCTATTCTCAGCTACTCACAACGTTTTTTAGAAGAATCAGTGCAACATATTGTTCATAGTACACCAAATGTGGACATGATATGTTTATATACACAATGCCCAGGTTCATATTTGCAAAGTTGCATTTCGTTGAAAAGAACCCAATGTCCTGCATGGCTGATTTGGGTGAATAAAGTGATTGTGTGACTAACCTTTTCTGGCCGCCCCGTGAGGAACAAGAGGCGGAAAAGAGAGCGACTCTTCAACGATGCACGCATGCCACCGACTTTGAGATGCTGCTCACATCCGAGTAGTAAATAACACCAGAGTCGATCATCCGCGCCCGCTCAAACATACATACGTATCCGACTACATTGAGACATCTGTATGCACCCGCACTCGCGCCAACACGCACATGCATGCGCACAAACATGCAATGTGAGAATAATGTTTATTGATGGCGTGTGGCCGGATTTGTCAGACTTGGAAAGGCTGTCCATCAGGTCACTGTGGTAGTCATTAGCAGCAGAGCGTGGTGCCAAAACTCCCTGAACTTCTTCCAGACAACGGCTTGAGCATACGCATACAAACTCCACTGCCTCCCTAGAATTATAAGTCAGGTTTTCTTTGGTGTTTTTGTTTTTTTTTATTCGATTCCCCGACACCTTCTTTCCTTCAGACGCGTAAACACACAAAGAGTACAGTCTGGGTTTTTTCCGCACTTTTATCCCTGCTCACACTTCACTAGCCATCTTACTTATTCATGATGCGGCTGCAGCTGAGCTTTTTGCTCAGTTACCGTTTGTCATCTCCTCCATCACTTTCACCACGCACTGCTTTTTGACATGACCTGATTTTTCATGCATTTTGGCAATTTTAGCGAGGCTGCCTCAGAATACACTCTGGGTAATTTTTCTCTGCACATTATAAATCGCCGGATGGAATTCATGCGGGTTCTGCCGGGCTAAATTAGCCGCAATAGGAAGTGAGCAAAGCTGACACAATTTGCCAGGTTTTGAATTCGATTTTGCTCAATTTCATTCTCTCCGCTCATTTCTCATTCTATTTCCCTTCTTCTATTCTTTTTTCGGTGTTACCTCTTCATGTATCGTTTTTCTCAGCTTGCCTTTCTTTGTTCGATTGGCCCACTAATCCTGTTACTGTATCCGTCACCTCTTTGCTCTTCATTCGCCCCTTGTCCACTACCTCCTCCTCCTTCCTCCTCGTCGTGACTCATCTTCTCATCTCCCTGTTTCTTCTTCTTCAAAACTCCCAGGGCCCAGACCAGTGTGTAAAATGCCTTCACTTCAAAGATGGGCCCAACTGTGTGGAGAAGTGCCCCGACGGACTGCAGGGCGCCAACAGCTTCATTTTCAAATACGCCAAGGCCAACAACGAGTGTCATCCCTGCCACACCAACTGCACCCAGGGGTAAGAGAGGGAAGGATGCGTGAAGATTGGCTTCATATGTCTGAAAGTTTATCCGTTTCTCTTATCTGTTCAACTGCTAGTCACTCTCAATATGTTGCCCCAACCTTTCAAGACGTTACAAAAGGGAAGTGCTTTTGCTCCGTTGACCTTAATGGAGCAAAAGCAGATCAACTGTTAGTGAAGGGGCAGGTTGCAGACAAACAGCAGGAGGAGGGGGAGATATGAACTGGCAGACGGCTGGCTGCAGATAAATAAAGCAAAGGGACAATTGAACACGAGCTGCATTCATTCGGTTCAGACTGGTCAGATTTAGCTCATTATTAGGTGTTATTGTTGCTGCAGGACTCATTTCTTATAGAGAAGACAAACTATTTTCTGGTTGCACCAGAATACTAAAAAGGAAGTGTTGTGTGTGACGTCAAGCCACATTTATGGTCTTCTGAGCCACTGAAAGATTGTAGTAGTCTATGTCCATGTCTCACAACACATCTTTTTGTTTTTTAGAATACCAACAACGTTAAAAATTCCCAACTCAGTGTGGATATTGTCTTTGGTATTTTGAAATTGCCATTTGAAGCCATTTGTTGATATAGAAAAAAAAATATCCACTTCTTTCCCAGCAGAGGTTCTTTTTCACTGGCCAAAGTTCTGACATTAATTCAATATCGTCTTTGGTGACCTTGTCAAAGTTTAGCTGGATGAAGACCATATGAAACATTTGTGTTGTAGAATTTGTTAGCTTAGATGACCTAGCTTGGTGCTATGGTATGCTAGCTTGGCGTTATAGTATGGTAGCTTGGCCCTATGATATGCTAGCTTAGTGCTATGGTATGTTAGCTTGGTGCTGCACGCAAAGGTAAAATGTTATCTTACTTGTTTTCATAAATATGCCACATTTATTCTGCAACATGCTAGCTTAAGGCTTTGATCCTCTCAACAAGGTCTGATTAGACCAAAGGCATAAAGATGATGAGCTCAAGACAAAGGCTGGAGTTTTCATAATAGGAAATGATCCAAAGTTGATATGGAAAAATCACCATTCACTTAATTTTGAATGTTGAAATGGGAAGTGATAATGTCACAATGTAGGTTGTATTTTCTGCTGCCATTACGGATAAATATACAATTAAGAATTTTTTTTTTACTTAAAAAATGTTTTTCACTTAAAGCATTCTTTTTCACTTGTACATTTGTATAAAATTATATAAAATGTTGATCAAATCAAAAGATTGTTCTTAGCTTCTTGAAAATTTCATTAATGAAGGAAGAGTGCTTTCTTCAACATGAATTGTAGCTAATTGGCCAATTGCGAGGCTGTTTATTTGATGACTAGGCAGCTCTGACAGAGCCTCAGTTGTCACCAGTTTAATTCCAGCCTGAACCAGCTCTCCTCATTTTCTGGCCAATTTGTTGTGTTTTGTGTGCTCTAACACGGTAATTCAGGAAATCTTCTCCTGTGTCTACCCTGCTGCTCAAAAGCCACAACACACGGATCGGGATTTAATGAGCAGTGACGAGTGTGCTCTAATCACTTCCTGCTCACCTGCTGTTCTCATCACTTTCCACTGAAACACCTTTCATCTGAACTACCCTCCAGCAGCAGAGGTTGCTGAGACAGATAGGAAATAACATGCACACTGCACACTTTTTCAAATTAAAACAGCTTTTCTTTAAAGGCTGATTATTTGCCAGTTCAATTTTAATTAGCATTCATTTGGAGGATTTCCTTCCCTCCTTCCTTCTGCTAGTTGATCAATACGGACTTTGTATTTACTTTAGATTCTTCTTAATATCCATTCCTTTTTGGATATACCATCTTTAAGGTCATTTCCTGAAATGAACACAAGTTCAAAACACTGGAGTTAACTGCAGCGGTTTGTCCAAACAACAAGCGCTTTCATCTTGTGAAATATTGAAATTTAACCTATAGTCAGAGTTGCCTGGCAACACTCATTAAACACGCCTTAAAGCTTCAAATGGTTTGAACAGCAAATGTAAGGTACCTGGCAGAAAAATAATAATGTATAACATGGGAGTATTTAGGAGCACTGTATGAAAATATTGTTATACTCTGTAACTGGCTAATGACGTTGGAATATGATTTGATGCTTCACTGTTCACATAATATTTAATGTATTTCATTATCCTTAGGTTAAAGACTAAATTAGCTGAGATTGTCCAATAGGAATTCACCCTCGCACAGAGATTAAACACAAAACACAACAATAAAATTCATCTATCCACACACTGGACCATCCATTAGGGGTGTAGACTATTTCGCAAAATGATCGTTATGTTACTGGTTTCTGAGAAGGTAACGACCAAGCTAAGTTGTTTATTGGAACTCTTTCGATAAAGCCTTCTGTTTGAAATGGAAATTATTATTTTAGTTTTTTGCAGCTTGATAGTTGACTCAAGATCTCAGGTCTATGTTTGCTGTGAAGCTAAAGCAAAAAAGACAGCAACACTTTTGTCATTTTTAGATTTATCTCTAGCCGTATTGTCACGACATTCTGCAACTATGTTGCATGTTTTCCTAATGTCTTGCAGTCCTCATCAAGTCTCTAAGTTTCCTATGCTCCACATTCAAAACTTTAGTATTTAACCTAATTTCTAAATTAACTTTAAAATAAATTGACGCTTGGAAATGTGAGTCTATAAAAGTACAACATTTTGAGATAAAATCCCTGAATACCAAGAAACGAACATGAAATTCACTGATTGACCTAAAAGCCAATCAGAATCAGCCATCATAAACACTTAGAACCAATCACTGCAAACACAAGACTTCACGTCTCCAGTGAGCTTTGAACTGGAAGCCAAATTTATGGGAACTTGAAGGAGGAAAGCTGAGAGAGTGGATTTATCTGCTGTTGCCATGCGTAGTCACTCAGTAATATAAAACAGTGATTTAGAGCTTCTGATGTTTATTAAAAACTAAAAATACTTTCTTGCTTTGTGTGGGGTGTAATCTCGATTGTTTCTGTGTTTTATTATTGTTGTTTAATAAAGCATGGTGTAAAAGGAGCTAAATAAAACGGCGGCGGTGGCCAGCAGGCTGCAGTAAACCCTATCACACCAGAACAGATGAATCTCCATGCCACCTACACTGACCTGTCTGCACCTCCAACACAACCTCACACTGTGAATCTTTCAACCTGAATCCTGTTCTTCAGGAAAGGAGGATTATATCACCTCATTTCTGAATTCTCTACATAAGTACATGTAGCTGTGGAGGATATTGACATCCTCTGTTTCTTCTAGTTCTGTGCTGTAGCTTTGCTTTGCTGACTGAATCTTGTGTGACCGCGAGCTTTCAAACATCACACCAAACAAAAGCATTGCCCTCCAGCCCAAACACCTCTTCCCTGACACCTTGACAAGTGGTCAGCCCTGCTTCCATTTTCCAGGCGCCTCCCCCACCCCACACGGAGACGACTGATTGACGAGGAAGAAAGACAACATGAGGTCTGCTCATAACCTGTCCCTGATTTAATAGACACTCTCTCTGGTTTTTCTGCCCTGCAGGTGCATCGGGCCGCGGCTCCAGGACTGCGTGGGAATGATGGACAGGTGAGTCGTCTTCTGGTGCATTTTGGGAAGCGGGGACCAGGGGGGAGACCACCGTCAGGTTCTGCCAGAACTCGTTAAAGTTCCTGTTAAAACCCGCTTCTCTAGATGCTCATTAACAAGAGGCTGATGTGACCCAGAATTTTTGTGTGTGTGTGTGTGTGTGTGTGTGTGTGTTTGAACCAAACTTGTGGTCCAGTTAGGAAGTAGATGTCTTTCTGCATTTTCAAAACAAGCTTTTCTTTGAATAACAGTCCTTCCACAAGTGTTGTCTCCTAAATCTGATCATTTCTCACAATTTGAAATATGACCTCCAACTAGAGACATACTGTATACTGACATAGATCACCTCTCCAGTTGTAGTAATAATGCTGATAGTTTGGATTATCCAATACAATGAAGACGGAATATTAACTTCTTCCAAAACACCTCCAGACTTCTGCTTTACAGTTTTTATGGATCTTCTTAAAAATGCGGGTTGCCTAATGTAACATAGTTTTGCATAAGTTGGAATTAAATGTCTGTATCCATAAATCCATTTAAGAAACAGCCTGAATGGAGACAGTAAAGGGTTAATATTATATAGTATTAAGTTGAAACTGATAGTTGTGTGACCACTATCATGAACAACAGCGAATACATTTATTTAAAGAGCTACATACCAAAAGAAAACATATTACCTTTGTGGTATTGTTGTAGTAACATTAATGCTAATCTTATAGCAAAGCAAATCAAGTTTTTTCTTTAGCCCATTAGCATTTTTGCTAACTTTGAGTTCTCTTAGCCGCATCTAGTTTCCCCAAAGTGAATTTTTCCAGATAAATTCTACAGCGCTAATTTTACTTGGCTTATTTCTATATTTTCAGAATAAAGTTTGACATCTGAGTTGAAGTTTAGGTTGTCGACCGCTAAGATGTTTTCAAATAGCTAAATGTTTACATGCATGCTTTTATTTTGAAGTGGGTGAAGATTGTTGACGCAGCAGTTCTGTTAATACGTAGGCAACAAACAAACAAATGAGGAATACAAAACAATTAATTAAGCAGATATATGCAAAAATGTATTAATTGTTCTGAGAACCTCTTCATGTTTTCCTCTTGACACATGGTGGTTAGTGTTTTAGCATTAGCTTCTGCTAAATACCATGCTGATGTAGTGCATGATTAGTGCTTTAGAGTTAGCCCTGCTAACTTTTACATTTTGCTACATTGACATAAATGAAAACACTGCTATTGTCAAAAATAAATCGGTAACAGCTGAAGTAATTTAAGGCATTATGTGAGATTGATTGAAATATGTAAATCCCTTCCAGGAGGCCATGAGCCAGTCATGAATACAGAAAGCAGGAGTCAGACCGTTGAACTGTTTCCTGAGGTTGATTTTATGGCGACTCTTTTCTCTGAGTTCCTCCAATGCCATCATCCCCTCTGTCTCATCCGCTGACCCCGTGTCACTCTTCCTGCTGTAAACCATTTCCTCCTAATTTAAGGAGTCTGTTCTCTCATCCAGCGCTGCCTCAACCTGTTATTCGTCTCGACGCCAGCTCAGGTTGTTTTCTCTCCGAAATCCTTTCCACTCTTCCGTTTCTTCCCTCTTAGATTTTACAGACAATTTTGCGTTTTGGAAAATTCTCCTTTGATTGATTTCAATTGATTTCAATTCCCTCAAACTTCAGCATTACTATTCAGCACATCGCTGCGTCTGTGTAATTTTGTCCAAACTCAGAGCCTCTTTCTAAATTTCAGGCTCCACCTTCCTTAAGTCTGTCACAATCGACGAGGCGCATGCGGCTGCACCTTGCTCCGCCGTACCAAAGCAGGACCCCGGTCTTCCATTAGCTGCTAATGGCTTTTACAGCTGATAGACTTTTGAACTTCAAGTATCAAAGCAGGGAAAGTTCTGGCATCGGAAAGGGGTGAATGTGGAGCAAACAGGAGGAAGCGAAGGGGAATCACCGGGACAAAGAGTAATATAAGGGTGGAAATTAATGGTAGCTTAACAGTATCTACAAGTGCAGTTGCTATATAAATGGCAAACGCATTAGCGGTGTCATTAGGGATGAGAGAGAGCTTTTAGCACCCAACCTTTTACTCTTCCCTACAGCTGGTTCTTCCTCGGATGGTGGGAAAGCATTTTGAGAAGGAAAGGTATTTTTGATTACTGAATTATTAGAATGTTTCTCTCTCCCTCTCTGAGGGAAAGAAAAATGACTGAAGTTTAAGTTTTAACTCTCAACATTTCCTGGTATTGATTAAGTCGTGAAGAGGGGTAGGCCGGGGTAATAAAAGCTGCACCTCCTCCGCGGACGAAGGAATAAGAAACACACAGCATCAAACACCTTTTGGTGACCTGTGGAAATGGAAGAAGCCCTCTGTTTGGCCTCAGTGTGTGTCGCCAAATCATAAGAGTTTTTCAGGTGTCTTACAGTTTAAATGGTGAGAATATGTAAGATTTTCTTTCACCTTTATAAAGTCTGGACTCAAAGACAAATGGCAAAAACTGTTCATCTTTATTTTAACAGGAAACATTTAGTCTGATTTACTGTTAAGCAATAATAATTTATATAGTTTTCTGCTAGGGACAGTATGTAAACCAGGAGTTTGCATGCACTATGTAGTGCATGCAAGCTTCTATTGCACTATTGATTTTTTTTTTTTCACACACTTTGATGTGAAATCAGAATAAATTTTTCCTGTTTTAGGTCAATTATGGTCATCAAAATTTGTTCAGTTTGCTATTTTTAAATTAATATTTTTTTATTTGTTCAAAATAAAAAGTTTAATTACACTTCATTAATAATTGGTACCATTGCCCTAAAACTATATGACTTTGATCAAATGTTTTGGATTTATCTACAAGCTTCTCACCATAGTGATAGAACTGAATCTTGAAGCTCAGTTGTCTATTGTAGGATATATCAGTAATTATTAAAAAAAAAAAAGTTTCAAAGGTTTTATGAGGCTTGAAAATAAATAACCTTGTCTACACTTTCCCAGACACAACCAAAGATGAAAAGAAACTGAAAACAACTAATAGAACAGCTTGTGGAGTTGTTTGTTTTAAGACGTTTGTAGGCAAAAACTGGACAAAATAAAACCAAAACATAAGATTAAAAAGTCCTTTTCAAATACGTTTCTTTTCTCTGAAACATCAGATTGAATGCACATTAACTGATAAACTACAGTCAAAAAGCAAACTACTCAGGGAGTCTTTTTGATTTAGGCTGAGAATCAAAGGAGGCGTACGTTTGGTCCAGGATCCTGTGAACCCGAATCCGTCTGCAGGCGGAACAAACCCGACCGTCACAACCGGATCTGAAGGACTTTTTGCTGCTGTTTACAAGCTGGTGGATTCTTGCCATAGGGCTATGTTGCCTTAGCTTTCCCTTTATGCTCCATTTGCTTTTTTTGTTTTTAATCTTTGTTTGAATCCTTAAAAGACTAAAAGGAAAAATATTAAATTCACTTTAAATATTAATGGCGTGTTTGTAAGGCCTTTGGGGAATTGGCTTTTCAGCACAAAACAATTTCTCAACAAGTTTCTAACAAGACGCACAAAAAAAACCCTTTGAATCTCCATGAGAATCTAATTCTAAATGATTCGCTTGCAGAGTTAAATAGAGTAGGAAGTATTTCTAAATCAGAAATTAGCACAACAAAGAGCAGAAACATGTTTTGGACTCTGACTTGTTCCTGCTTCTCAAACAAACAGCACTGACAGAAACAGAAATTTAGATTTGGGTCTTTATCCGCAGAATAAGTTGACCCTAGTTGAACTTCATTTGAATATGTCTGACTGCTTCAACAGTTTTTACTGTTCTCTTTCCAGGACGCCGCTGATAGCAGCTGGTATCATTGGTGGGCTGTTCATCATCGTCATCCTGGCGCTCAGCGTGGCCGTTTACGTTCGACGCAAAAGCATCAAGAAGAAGAGAGCCTTGAGACGCTTCCTAGAGACAGAGGTAAGAGCTGAGTCTGTCTCTGCTGCATCGTTTTCTCTTTCTGTCATCATTTCTTTTCCAAGCCTGTGGAGGGGTTAAAACTTGTCAATATTTTGGAGCTACAATGGATTCAAGATTTTTTTTTTTGTAGAGCATATCTGTAATACTCAAAGGAGATTGCTGAAATATAATCGTTCAATGCTATTTGGCACACTATTTTTCATGTACGCGATTGGCTCTACACCCAAAATAACTGCCCATCATGTGTTGAAATAAAGCTCAAGTTTTGTTACTAGCTAGCTTCGACTGTACTGGGGCATATCTGACATTGTAAGAGATCTCTGGATGAAATTTATATCCCAAACCAGAAACACAATACTAAGACAATGTATCCGTATTAGTCAACATAGAGTTAGAAATGGGAAAAACACTTGCCAGAATCTGCCACTAAAATGTCAAAAACAACAAGAAAACTAATGAAATTGAGCTGTTTTGTTCTGCTGAGTTTCAAAGTCTGGTGGAAAGTTTTAGCTTCAGATTGATTTGGAAACCTGGGAAGGGAAACGTTAGCATTCCAGCAGCATCCTAATGGAAAACCACGTCACATGTCAGGAACTTCTCACATACTAAACACATCCCCTTGTTCTCTAAAAGCAGGCGAAAAATCTAAAGCTAACAATGCATTATTAAAACTCCCAAGTTTTAATAAGGCAAAAACAAGCTGCTGTTTGGCCAAATCTAAACATTTAGTTTTATTTTTAGGTTGGATGTTTGTTTCTTTTTAATTGGGGGCCCTTCTGGCCTTTTTCCCACTAACATAAGCAGACCTTCAGACGTCCAACCTTGAGCAGGTGCTTATCCAAACTGTGTGAGCGTAGGAGTTTTTTTTTTTTTTTTTTAAATTATGCATGTCTGCCATTGCCCATCGATCTGGCCTTGAAGAGGGTTCATTTCTTGGAAGCCTCAGGCGGGCGGAGTGGACTTTATATTCACAGGAGAGAGCCAAAGATGGCCGTGCCAGGGATTGTGGAGCTAGCGTGTGTGGCTCGCGAGGCTTTCTTCCTCTTGTGTCGCGTGGAGCCCCAGCAGTTATGTCATCAGTGTCATCGCTGCGGCCCAGTCGGGGCAGGCTGCCTGTCGGTCTGCATTAGTGTAATTTACAGGTAGAAGGCGCAGCGTTATAGACAGCTGTCAGGCCGGAGACGCGGGAGGGCGACCGCGGGGCACTTCCTGCCTCATCCCGGCCGTACGCATCCATCTTAATCAGCTCGGCTGTGTTCCGACAACAGCTTGACCTCGAGGGGAAGTGGATCTGCTAATGCACTGTCACGGAGAAGGAGGAGCTGGGAAGGTGCTGGCCGACGGGGATTCCTTTTGCTCCTTTTGCATCTTTCTCCCTTCATCTCATCCTGAAACTGATTTAGATTTCCAAAGCACGGGCGGCCGCGCCGCTGTCCTCCCAGGATGCCTAATTGTGGTGTAAAAGCAATTAGGCCCAATCAAATCCTAAAAGCTCTAGGTAGGTCGGCCTCGGGGTCGTATTCCAGGTTTAATCATCTTGACGGCATCCATTCAGACACATTAGTATATAAATCCTTAATGTGTCCGGTCACTATTCATGGGTCACGCCAATAGGAGCATTAAGAGAACAGGGAGGAAGGAGAGTTGTGCCTGAAAGTGACCTGTCAGAGTTGTAGCCTGCAGCAAAACGAAGTAATAATCTGTTCCAGTCGTCTCAGCAGGAGGAAAAGTCCAGAAAGATCTGGTTTTTTGCTCATTTTCATTGAATCAAACCTGCAAAGGATTCATTCCACTAGAACCTTTTCACATTTTGTCACATTATAAACACAAATCTCAACATCAGCGTTGAGCGCTGTGCACTGATAGCAAAGCTAATTGTTTTGCTTCGAGCTTTAGCATTTTTGTTAACTTTGGATCCGTTTAGCACACCTAGCTTATGTTTGCGGCTATATTCTAAAGCGCTAAATTAATTGGTTGATTTGTAAACATTTCTGTTGAATATAGTTCAGCATCTGTGTTGAAGCTTTGGTCATCTCTTGTTAAAATTTCTTCAAGTAGTTAGACATTCATGCTCTTATTATGAAGTGGGCGAAGACAACGCAGCAGCTCCATGTCCCCTCCTTCTTTTAAAATAACTTTATTTAAAACTTACAGGAACAAACTAAAAAATAGACAGTTGTGGAGAAAAAGACACAAATTTAACTAGAATATCTAAAATTATGTAAAAATTAAATTTGAACCCAAGGTTTGTAGTTTTTCATGGGCAGATAGCGGTTAACTTGAAATTAGCTCATTAGCTTTAGCTTCCACTAGACTAATTGTTATGTTGGCATAGTGCTTTAGCATTAGCAGAATTAATGTTTATGATTAGTTCATCAGGGTTAGCTCAGTAAGCTTCTCGGTTAGCGGTGCTCACCACTGCTCACTGTGTTCAGCTGGATTTTTGTGAAATGAAAGAAAAATGTTGTGTGTTTTCCAAAGGTTCTTATGAATGAAAAATTTTAAAAAGTGTGTAATATCCTTATTTATGAAGCAAAGTTTCATTTTTTAGCCAACATGCAAAATACTGTGTGGCAGAAAAACGTATCAGTTTATCATAAATAAAATAATGTGAGAACCTCATTTTGACCTCCTGTCGTCTGATATGAAAGTGACAAACAGAGAATTGAGGAATGTGTCCCAAACACCCAGCAGCGGTGGCTGCAGCCAGCGGTTGTTCTCGGAAGTAAAAAGTGTCTGTAATATATGAAATAATGCCACACTTTTCAATTTCTGAAACCGTTTATCATTTTCCTTCCAGCTCATGTCTGCGTACTGCTTGGTGTTGGCCTATCACATTGAGCTCTCAATAAAGCACTGATGTTTTGCAGCTATAATGTGGCTAAATGTGTGGGAATTAAAGCGGTTTCTTTCTGAAAGGACTCTCGGCAAGTGAGTCGTGAAGAAGCGCAGCCTGTGTCAGACTTTCCCGCGGCTCTTCTTTCAGCCTGACGAAGCTCGGTGCTCGGCACGGCTGGCGGACGTGGGCTCTCTATTCAGACGGATAATAGAGCTGACTCGGTGCCGGCGAATGGAGATCAAGCTTGTCTGGATGAGGGATTTTGGTGCGACGAAGGCTCAGGGACTCCCCCCCTCCACCTCCCCTCCTTGTCTGCCGCAGCTGTTTGAAAGAGAGAGCTCACCTCTTGTGTCAGACCGGGAAGAGATGCCTCCAGTTGTGCGCTGTCAGAATGCGATCTGAGCACTCAGCCATTATTTCCATATCAAGGACACGTGCGAAGGCTGTCTCAGTGTTGACTTGCAAAACACACTCCTAAAACCTCTCTTTATTGTTTTTTTTTCCTTCTCCCTTTTTTGTTCTCTCTCTTTTTTTCTGTTTCTCACCTCGGAATAGAGAGAAATCTGAGCCCCACATGAAAACGCCTCATTCTGTTGTGTCTTTGTAAGGAAGGCCTCCTGAAAACAAATTGCTTTTCTCCCTGGAAAGAACGCGGCAAACAGCCGCCTCGCCTCGCCGCTGCGAGCTTTAAACTTTGACCCCCATACAATGAAGCGGGACTAATGCGCTCAGAATCGCCCTCTCCTTATTTCCTCAAGGTCCTCCTCCTCCTCTTTAGCTGCTTTGTGTTCAGACTGGGGATGTGGACAGCTCCAGCACTGCTTACACGAATTCCCAATGTTTAGGGATAATGGACAGGATCCTGTTGACCGGCTGTTTGCTGGGCAGTGTCCTCCATCTGGAGTCTTACTAAATAGTAAATAGACTTCCAGCCAGATGCAGATCAGTCGCTAAAGTTTGGAGTGTGAACCTAAAACTCACAAGACGACAAGAGACACATGTTGTTTCTGTTGATTTCTTTTAACTCTTCAGACCTCAGGAGAGGGTTTTCAACTAAGCATGGCCCCAGTTGGTATTGATGCTGTGATCGTGATGTAGCTCACATCATTAGTTGTTTTAGTGTCTAAAAAGCTAGCAGTGCTTCCATGTTGTTTATTTCTGGTCTGTTCTTCTGTTGGTATTTATCATTACTACTGGGATCCCGAAATGTTGCCAAGCAAATGCTTAAAGAGTAGTTGGGGCAACTTCTACTGCAACTTCGTCAGACGAAGCCATGCCGACCATAACTGGCTAGTTCTCACAAGTTAGCAGTCTTCTTATATGACGAGATCCTGTCACACCCCAACCGGGGGCAGATCGGTGTGTGACAGGAGGAAGCTGACATTGAACCGACGAGCTTCCGATTGCAAGACAGCTACCCACTGAGCCACAGTCACCCCGCTGCCACATGGGAAATGACGTTTCTCCTTTTCCATTCATTTACTAGGGAACTTCAGTGCAGCGATGATTGCTTGTCCTCTTCCAGCCAAACAACCAGCGACGTTTGTCCGTGTGAAAATTTGAAAGTGCACAAGCAGGCTAGAGCGACACAAGAAAGGGGATAAATGTTGAACTTTTGTCACTCTCCATTGCTATTACCAACCTACTCAGAGGGAGAACATTTTACCTTGAAGACAAACAAAACAAACCAAGAAGATTACTGGCATTCCCCTGAAAGTTGAAGACTTCTAAAGCTTCAGTTGTCTTGGCCTTGTTGTCTATGTTTTCATGGGGTTGGGAGGCGGTGGGGATATTATGTCATGAGGATCCACATTTGTCCCTGAAGAAGCAGACTAGTCAAAGCTAGAAAATCAAGTCAGAAGCTACTAGCTCACTGTACTAGTTAGCTACAGAATATAACTTTGATTGTATCTTTCTTTCTAGTTCTCTCTTTGTCTTGTTGCTCCGCCCTTTGGCTCATTTATACACAAATGCCCAACTCTAGTTCTTCAGTCATTACACAAACAGTGCAGTGGAGACTTTTACTCATCCATACCACAGTCTTGATCTGAAAAACCAAAATCTGAAATGTATTGGTACAAATTACTTAGCATATCTGTACAACCCCAATAAATATGCTGGTTTATATATAGAATACAGAGTTATGCTCATCAGTGTTACA